GAGCACATACTATTAAAAATATTAAAATATTTCCAATATTTTATGAAATCCTGTACTTTACACAACATAAGATACATTATTGCATGTGCACCATACATGCATAAGAACCCACCACTTACATGGGTAAGTGGTGGAAAAGGAAGAAATAATCACACTATTACCCGTATTTTCCGGCGTATAAGACGACTCCCCACTTTTCCAGTTAAAATATAGAGTTTGGGAAGAGTATGACTTCCAAAACTGTTGTTGCTGTTGCTGTGCACTTTCAAGTCATTTCCAACTGATGATGACACTAAGGCAAACCTACCATGAACCTCCTTATACCCGGCGTATAAGACGACCCCCCTCACTTTAACCCCAGATTTTGCAGGTTAAAAAGTAGTCTTATATGCCAGAAAATAAGGTATTTCATCTTCTTTACTTTCTACAATATTAATGGTGATTTAAAACATTTGTGATGCTAAGGAGCCAGTACTAAGTTCTGCTCTGGGAAAGCTTTGCAAGGTGGTATAAATATATTTTAAACTAAATAGTAATTCATGTGTCAGTTATGGCATATTATCATGTGCTCCCAGGATCTGCCACACAGGCCTTCTTTCCAAAGGTTATAGAAAGTCTGCCATCTGTACATTGTGGAAATGAGGATGCTTCGATATGTATAGAATCTCTCATCCCTGCAAGAGCAGTGTTTCTTCCTGTCCCAAAAGTAAAGAGTCTTGTGACAACGTAGAGAAGAACAAATTTATTATGGCATAAGCCAGGGGTAGGCAACCTTTCCCCTTTAAGGGCCGAGGGACTTCAGCTCCCAGAAGCCTCAACAATGTTGTCCAATAGTCCCATGTTGGCCAATAGCTCCTGGGATTCTAAGAGCTGACGTCCCTTGGCCCTTAAAGGGGAAAGGTTGCCTACCCCTGGCATAAGCTTTTGTGGTCCACTTTATCAGTTTAAGTGGTCTGTAGTGCACAGACACGTGAAGTGAACTCTAGTTCAGAACAGCTTATGCCATTATAAAATTATTATTATTATTATTATTATGCCACACATTCTCTCTCTCTGATGCACACCTTAATAAATTAAGAGGTTTGAGGGTGTCAAGGAAATGAAGAGTATTAGCTTCAGGAGACTAGACTTAATGAAGAATATAGAGTCCTAGTAGGGTCACCCAAAGCAGAATGTTCAAAGTGGAAATAATAGACTGAGGTGCTTCTATCCTCTGCAGGAATTAACAGTGGCATCAGAAGAGAACTGATTGTTCTGATGACAAGAATGGCGGAGAAAGTTCAGAAGGTGAGCTACTGGGCAGCAGTAATATTGGGAGATGACAGTGGCAGAGGATCTCTTACAGACGACAGCCACACTTCACTTAATTCTTGTTACTCCTGCACAGAAGGCAGTGGTAAACCACTTCTGAATGTCTTTTACCTTGAAATCCCTATAATGAGACAATCCAAAATGAAGCAAAAAACAGTGCTTGGAAGATGAGACAGTCAATCAAGTTACAGGGGAAGATTACAAGATAAATACAAATGGTGTTGTATCTAATGACACAACTGGACCCATTAACGCTAAAAGGACATTCAGCTGCTGATATGCTCAGATATGAAGGGAAACTCCAAAGCTTCAAAAGACATAAAGAAGGAATGTGGAATGTGAGAAGTATGATTCAGGGGAAGTAAGACACTGTAAAATAAGAAATTCAATGTACACTCATTCTTCCCTGTTTGTGGACTTGGAGTCCGCGGTCTCACTCCTTCATGGGTAGCAAGCAGGGAGGGACAAAAGAGTGCATATAACCAATGGGTTTTGAATATTTGCAGTTTTTCTGATGCGCGGTGGTGGTGGTGGCTGGAACGGATTGTAAAATATGGATGGGTTATACAGTCAAAGGTGAAATGTAGAGATGCGTGTGTGGAATTTTCCTCATGAGAACAACATCTAGACAAACAAAGTGATCTAGCACCAGATGCTACACAGACATAAATATAAACTTTCCCATAGATACAACTCATAGACGCAGATTTTGTTATGAGGAAAGCAAGATAACAAGTACATCAACATCATGAGATCATGGGAAAGGAGTCACATGGGGGATGATGGACAGCAAGAGGCTGGGCTAATACACATCATACAGGCATTATCCAATCAACATAAAGTTAACACCCAGAAGGTGGAGTATGGGAAGGGCCTAGAGAATCCTTTGTCTAGAATGTTTGTAATTCAAGATGTGAGTGCATGAGCGTGTCTGGCAGTGGTTTTTTAATCATGGAGCTTTTGGCTTGTAGTTTTTAGTATATTTATACTGCTTTTAC